TAGCATCAGTAATACCTTAAAGCCATTTATTTTTAAGTGGACAAGTATTTGCGATTTGCTAATGGTACTGATTTAATGTGTACTAATTTTTGTAATTTTGCTCTTTTCTCAACTAATAACCATTAATAAATCTGGATTATTGCTGTGACTTTAAAACCATTTACAAAAAATAGTACTTGCAAATAATATTGAATTTAAGGTATAGTTTTAATTGGGACACTACATATTCCCATCCACACATGACTATATGAACTTAGTTTTTTGACAAAAGATTATCAGCGATTACACTATGATACTCACTAATATCATCCAGTATAGTTTGTCCTAGTGATACATTAGTACTTATTGTGCACAATACATTAGCAAATGTATGTAAACTGTTGGGATCGGTTTGAACAGCTTCTTTGACAGCAGTTAATAGAGCCTCACGTTGATTAGGAATAGAGGGACTAGCTGACACCACTCTACTAACTGCTTCTTGTGTTAACATACATTCAGCATAAAGTAACCGAGCAATAGCAACAGAATCACAAAGAGACTGAGACAGGACAGTACGACGATTATTAAAAATATTAATAAGAACATGATGTTCTATGATAGAAAATACAATGATTATAGTTACATACAGTTATGGTTGACTCACTTAACTTCTCAGCTACAGCAGTTTCATTCATAGATCCTAGAGCATCTGACAGTGAGTTCAAGTTGGCTCCTCCTCTGCTGTCAACATTATCAGCTCTACCTAACCATTGGGAGAGGCACTCTGTCATACAACGAGATACATCATGAGGATGATTCTTTTCTATTGTATCTAGTGTGTTCTTCTTTAGTCCTAGTCTCAGTCCCAGCTTATACCATTTCTTTTCTGGAAAGCAACATTTCTCCAATAAGTCAAGAACATTAATCAAGTCACCAATATCTATCAGTCAAAATCAAAATTTCAGATCATATAATACCACATGACTACCTAAACATGCTTGATTAGTGGCCATAATTCCATTAAAAGAAGTTGCCCCAAGGCCAGGGGCCTCAGAACTGAATTACTGAACAGCACTCTTTTCTTAGTCTTTACCAGTCCGGGTAAGCCCTTCTTCTGCAGATTAGAAGGGGCGCGCCAAGACTAAAATTTTATAATATTTTTTAAATTCGCCTGTAAATTTGTAATCCGGGTCTATTTTCCTTTATGCCAGTAGCATGACTAGCATCATAAATATAGCATGCAGATTTATAACAGAAAAGTGATGAAAAATAATTTCAACAATAAAAATTTGAAGTTATACAATAATTAATTGTGTGGACTTGCAACAAAAGGAGTCACTAAAGAACAAACTAACTACAAAAATTATTAAATAAAATGTATTTAGAAAAACAATTTTATTTTAAAATAATTATTAGCTAGGCAGCGATTAATTTTTTGGCAGAGTAGTAATACAACTTGATACGAAACTCAAAATCAAACCAATCCATTTCAGTTAGTCAGATCAACGTCTACAGCTACATTGTGTAAGTTCAGTGTATGCACGTTGTGATGTGATCCCTAATCCTCTTCAACCTACAATAAAATAAATGAGTGCATGAATAATTTAGTCACAAAAAGCAGAAGCCTCCAGTATAATACTACTGTATACACTAAAGTAAAGGTAATCATTAACTGATTGTACATGTACATGATGAAACATGAGGTTTACTGACCTTGCTTCCTCTGCCTCTTGTATTTCTGATCTCTCTTTATCTCTTAACTTTTTCATTTTCTCTCTATTGTCTCTAAATAATTATAAACAGTAAGAGGTGTATGTAAGTGTGTGTGTACACATAATGTGTGTGTGTTCATTAGTACTTGTAATATATGACATATCCATCAACATATAGTCCTGATACTAAGTATCTGTCTGAATGCCATGTCAATTCATTCTCAATATCAAGACATGATATCTCAACTGGAAATGATTTACCCTAATAGAATACTATAATATGTGTATGCTTCAATGATTAACCTGTGAAAAAGAGATATACTTAGCAGGAACTCCACTTAACTCTGACAACTAAAAACAACAACAACAACAACAATAATAATGTAATAATATACTGATACATGTATGCAATCAATCCTTATTATAATTTCTTATAGTACCTTTTTAATAAAATGCTTAGTATCATATATATCATCCAGTATAATTTCTTCTATTGGATCAACTGAACATTGTGATGGACGCCATCTTATAACATACACCTGCCTCTGTTCATAATGCTTCTTCTCCTCTAGTCCTAATTAAATAAAAATTAATGTATTGACTACTATAGATCTATCATGTAAAGTACACTGAAAATACCATAATTATAGCACTTTAATTTGGCAAAGTTTTATTTGCCCAATATTAAAACCGTCAATCATTAATGCACGTGCTTAGTACTGCATGTGTACACAAAATCACCAAATTAAAAGCCGCCAAATACAATTTTACAACAAAATTGCCAAAATAAAGTGCTATACAGTATAATGAGATATGTTGACCTTTTAATGGTTCCACATACATTTCCCTAATGGCATGAATAGTATTAGTCCAATGATGATCAAGATATACTCTACCAGGGGTCATTCTATTCTTGAAACGTAATCTCATTCTACACAATGAATCATATGATAGTCACATGGTGTACTTACTTGTCTAATTCAAGGACACAGTCGATTCCTTGTACTTTTGCTTCTTCAATAATTTGTTTCTTAAATTCTCTCACTGGTGTACTGCTAGTAACAATAGACTCCATCATAAACTCACAAAACTAAAAATAAAATAAAAATAAGTAATAATTATTAATGTTTTTTACCTCTATACTGTTAACTTGTAATAAATATAATTTAATTCTGTGCTCTCCTTCTTGTAATGGTCTGAGTTTTACTATCAACTAGTAAAAGCAAAGTAATAAAGAGATGAGTGTGTGTTATTAGTACTTAAAGTACAGTAGGTATAATGGAAAGAAGTGAATGATCAAATAAAATGCTAAACTACATGCTTACCTTTGATTCAGATACATTCATTAATATCTCATCCAGGTTCTTCAATTTATAACCATTGATTCCATACACTATAAAACCAGTAGGTGGTACACGAATCAGTGGAACTAGCTCCTCCTTCAATTGAGCTAATGTTATTCTCTTATCAACTTGTACCTGTACCTCTGTATTGAATATAATGTTTAATGATCTTTTTAAAATAATAATACAAAATAATATTTATCATCACTTCTTTTTTCCCCTCTATTTTCTTCTTCTATTGTTATAATTTTCATTATTATTTTTCCATTTCTTTTATTAGTTGTAGTGGGTATGCTGGCTTTAGGTCCAGGAGGTATTGTAATGTTCAGTGGTATCCAGTTGAAGTCAAATTCAATACATTTGTACATCAAACTATCTCTGAATCCTTTTTGATAATCTTCAGGATCTGATGATACATACAGCAACTGAGTATGTGACTGTGCGTGTGTGTGTGTGTGCAGAAAAAAGACAAATGTATATAAATGAATATCAGTTAAATAAATTAAAATAATAGACATGAGCTAAAATTGCTCAATGACACACAGCTGTCAAGTACCAATACAAATTTTTGACAAAATCACAAAATAAAATCCCCACTAATGTTTTGATAACAGACCTTACATACATTATTACATACGTATGCGTGCATAACTGTATAACCAAAAACTGCCATTGATTTAGCAATTTCATTCACATTCACAAACTAAAATCCTGTGTGATTGAAAATGAAAGTAAACTTTGGCTAAGTGAAAATTTGATCCCTCAAAAGCTTCCAGCTATAGTATAAATAATGCATGAACTAACACTGTTGTGTCTTCTCATGTTGAATATCTCCTTTAAAGTACCTCCTACATCACTAATATCACTGACTGAAATATCACTCCAGTAATCCTTCTCTCTCATTACTAGTCTCATACATGATGAATTGAGATTATATACCTAGAGAAAGAAATGGACCAAATCAATGGAGGAAGAGAAGGTATTACTAACAATATCAGTATATCCTTCCTCTCCTATATGGCGTTTTAATTCTTCAACAGTCAAGCCTAGCTCTGCTCTCATTGGTTTAGGTGAACTTACTACACCACTTGCAAGATGAATCACTGATATTCTTAGATTAATACCTAAACCATCAAACACATGTACATGTAATTATAGATATTGGAGTAAATGAAAGGTATCAAAAACTTCCATTAAATTTTTGGCACAAAATGCTAGTTACCTACACCGTAATAATTTTTTATATGTATATAATAAATTATAAACAGCACAGCTTCATAATGGTATTTCTCAAAATGTGTCTATTATACATAAAAGAATGTGCATGCCCTCAAGTGTACATCAAACTTTGTTTTCATATCACATTTAAATATGCCAACCATTGAACTGTAAAAAAAAGGTACAAAATACCTTGCAAAAACTTTGAATTGATTATGAATCAGTCACCAAATCTGTCATCAGAGTAATTTTTATTGCGTGTTTTCAATTATGTAAAGAACCATAAAAAATTTTTAAAAACAAGATGAAGCAGCATTCTAAAGCAAATTTATAAAAAAGTAACAGAAACAAGGGCAAGTAGGATTTCGAACGAACAATGAAAATACGAAATGAAAATCCTACTCTTGTGACGCAAATTCTACTC